CCCCTTTCACCCCCCCCCCCCCCAGCCCCCCTCTGCATCCACTCTCTTTCAAGTTTGATTTCTGTAAAGCTTTCTCAGGATTCAGTCCATCCTCAAAGGTGTACTAACTGTCGGGATTGCTTTTTTATTATGTTTACTTTGGAAGTTGAAAGCGATTGCTTGACTCTAAAGCTGTTTCAGCTGTTCCACATGAAAATATTCAGTGTAAATCTTGAATATGCTACATACGATGACATATTGCACCACCTATGACATGACTTTGCTTCATTCGAATAATGGATGTTCAAATTCTGACTCCATGTCCATCTGAAATTCAGTGTTCCCTGGCTGACTTGGCTTACAGAGTAGAAGGAGCAAAAATGTGTACATTCTGTAATTCTTCCCCAAAAGCACAAAGGAAAAAACATAGCATGTATTTACTGTGACTGCAATATGTCCATCTTAAGTTGGCGTTAAATTTACTGACATGCATTTCTGGTGATTGTCAGGTGTAAATGAATTCATATAGCCTAAATTATCTCTTGAGATAATCTTAAAATGAGAGACATTTATAATGAGTCAGTTCAGACATCATCTTAGTTTGTTTATGATTCTGGGCCACTTTGATGGAACATCTGGATCTTTGAGTGTTTGTTTTCAGCACAAAATAAGTGACAAGCCTGAAAGGAGCTGTTTAAACTTGATAACACCTTACTTACTGTGGTGGTAATTACGTTGTCTGGCTTATGTAGCATGGTAAAACATTGTGTATTGTTTGTTTTTGTGTTGAGGTTTTTACTTTGTCAGTGACTAAGCATCACAAGGTGCAATTCTCATATATCAAAAAAAGATTTGTCAGGCAGGCACAACATGGTACTTCATTATATGATGCAGAACTATTGATTTGAACTTTCAAGTTGACTTGTTTTTTAATGAGTGTCACCAAACCTTCCTAATTATATATCTTAATTTCTGACTTGTTTGATCTCCTCCATTACGTCTGTACCTGCATGTCTCTCAGCTTGTGCCTCTACCAATTTCTGTACCTTTATTCTTTTGGTCTCCTTTCTACCTATTTGTCTCTTTGCCCTCGTTCCTCTGTTCCCTGCACTCTCCTCTCATTTGAGAATCATTGAAATCAATGGGACCAAATGAAAGGGTGAACCTTTCTGTCAAGCCTGAGCGAGGGGAGTTAAAGAAGGGCACCCACCCCTGAACTCACCTCCCTGTGCAGCTAATTGCCTATAATTACACAGACGACTGCCCCAGAATGCAAATCAGCTGCAATCTGAACGCCTAATCCCCACTGTAAATCTGTTTCATGTCAGCATATGACTGAGCTGTGAAAAGCAGTGAACACAATGGCATTAGTAAGTGTTGAAATTATAGCACTGCTTGAGCTGCATCATATTGATCAAGTACTTGAATGCCACTTGTGTTACAGAAACTATTACAATTACAGGAAGAGGAAACGGCTATTCAGAGGTCTCGTTCCCTGATTTAGACTTTTTTTTTCCAACCCACAGGAGGAATATTTGAATCCATTGAGAGCGGCCCCTCAGGAGCAGAGGAACTAGCCTTTAAATTTGCCTTGAATACAATTAATAGGAACCGCACCTTGCTCCCCAACACCACACTGACCTATGACATCCAGAGAATAAACATCTTCGACAGCTTTGAGGCCTCTAGGAAAGGTGAGTTGAGTTTGCTTTTGACTTTGTGGTGTAACAGATCATGTGAACAGAACACCAGGACTGAAGATTGGAGACAGATTTACAAAGTTAGACGATTGCATTCTGTCTGAATTCACTCCATATTTAAGAACTATTTTATTTGTATAGTGCATTCAAAAATTCATATGGTGTCTATGTATGCCACCTTCTGCTAACTGTCACAAAATGGAATGCGTCAGATGTGATAGATGCAAAAGTTCTATACGTTGCTAGTGTCACACAAGTGGTTAAATTGTCTTATCTCTTATTCTGATCCCTGCCTTACCAGCATGTGACCAGCTTTCCCTCGGGGTGGCGGCCATTTTTGGCCCCTCACACAGCTCATCGGCTAACGCGGTCCAGTCCATCTGCAATGCTTTGGGAGTGCCCCACATCCAGACCAAGTGGAAGCATCAAGTGTCCGACAACAGGGACTCGTACTATGTCAGCCTGTACCCCGACTTTTCCTCGCTCAGTAGAGCCATCCTTGACCTGGTTCACTTCTTCAAGTGGAGGACGGTCACTGTGGTCTATGACGACAGCACAGGTACAGGTACAGTTGGTGTCTGTCTTCATCTTCTAGTGGTGCGTCTGTTTTGTATGGTGATGAATGTTTGAAACCTGCAGCCTTTATACCCTGAACTGTCCATAAAAATGAAAGGTACCAGGTGAAGTACAGAAAGCAGTACTGATTCTCAGAGTTCAGTGAGTGCTTTGTAACCTGTCAAGTTAATTCAGAAATCAATAGCTTACTGTTCTGCCTCGGTCCTCCAGGTGCTACCTATGTCAGTCTTCCATGAGAGTGAGCAGTAGCATAGAAAAAAACGAGAACCACATTACCCAGAATGACCCAGTGTCTCTTCAAATTAATGCAATGCAGAATTGCAGTGTGTGGGGGCTGACAACAGCCATTAATAACACACAGAGACACTTGATCTCTGAGGGTGGCTATCAAATGTATCTGTGAGTCATTTTGTCTGTCCTGTGACTTTGTTGAGTGCCTCACAATACTGTATGTTTTAAAAGACAAGTTGTATTTTAGCTGGAGCACAGTCCTATTTTTATTAGACAGAGTGCATTTACAACAGAGAAGATGACGATATTCAGATGCTCATTTGCAATTTACAAACTATTTGGTATGATGTGTTTGACAACTTAATGTAAATAAACTGAGAGGGGGTTTAAATCTTAGAGAGGTTGCACTTCAAACCCGGAGAAATGTATTGTTGTGTTGTAGTTGACGTCCTATATTATGCCTCTGAATAGCTAAATTACTATTTAAACCTATTTTCTGCACCTTTTATTGACTAACATTGTCTTACAAATATTGGTTTTACTGCTATTTTGCTTTCTCTACTGTCTGTTTTCACATCTGTTGAATACATTTCAGTAAACAGCCAGTCCTGCTAGTGCTCGTGCATTAACCTCAGCTGATATCCCAATGACTCGTCCCACTTTCTGCATTATTCTGACTCATCTCTTTGACCCCACTTCACTTTCTACATTGGAGCTCAGTACATTAACACCCTCATTCTCCAGCAACCTGCCCCAGCGAGATGCCAAAATGTGACCTCTCACCTCTCTCTTTCAGATATGAGTGACTCAGGCATAATCTGCAGAGTATTTCTGCTGTAACACACCTGACGCCCTGAAAAGTGTGACAGCTGTATAGCCGCGGCACTACCCCCACCGCTTTCACCGTGTCCCAGGCTGTAATCACACAGCTTCATGCTCCAGGGCACTGCGCTGTTGATTGGAGCCTATCTGACGGCTGGCAGGAAAAACTATCGGAGAGGATAAAATATTCACACACAGCCGTTAGGAGATCCAGGGGGAAAGTCTGAAGGCATTAGCCAGAGCCCACAAACATCTACACTGACACTGTTTCCCAAACGCTGAGCTCCCTTGACAGATTTTTTTTTTCTCTAGCTTAACACCTCCCAAAGTGTCAGTACGAACAAAAACAGGGAGACACAGACATGCCCTAGAGTAGGGATCTATTGGGATTACCCAAGGAAAGCTGTAGGAGCTTCACTATTCCTCCCTACAATAGTACTTTTCACAACAAGACCTGCATGTTCCTATTTCACACCAATCTTTCTATAGGCCTCAGGGAGACCCAGCCCCACCCACAGTAAGGCCATTAAACTGCTCACACAGCACTTCATTTCAAAATAAAAAATAGGCTGAGCTATGTTAAAGTGGTTCCATGGGGAAAAAAAAAAACCTATCTCTCTCAGTTCCCTCTCAAACTATCCTTGTTGCTCCATCCATTTTTATACCCATGACAAGTAATCATCTCTCCCATCATTCCAGCCTCTTTCATCCCTGGACTCTGAAGTTCTTTACTGAGAGAGAAACTCATTGTAATCTCATCACAGTATCTCCTGGAGAGCTTTCTACCTGAGCGTGTGGTCGAAAAATGAAAGGTGAAGATTGTAGCTCAGTATGTGACGGCAGCATCAGGCTCCCTAGGGGCAAGTACAAGCTGGGCAAACAGAGCCGCTCTCATCAGAGCACATCTCAAGTGCGTGAGAGAGACAGGAGAGGTAGGATTGACCACGCTTTCCATCAGGATAAAATTGAACCTATTCCATGCTACTGTATGGTATCGTGGAAGAGAACGAATTGACATTCTTGAGATATCTGTGAGATTGGAAGTTTCTGTAGGAGGTTGCAGATCTAGGTTTTTTCTATTTTGTGCTTTTTGTATAAAAGAGTGCAATGTGCTGGCTTGCTGTTAAATTCTCTTGATAGGTCTGAAGCAGTCTGTTTGCTTGCCAATGATGAGTAGGAAGATCAATAGACTATGGATTAGGAAGGCATACATATGAGCCTTTTTTCTGCTGAGAAAACCTAAATCCAGTTGGTGTTTGTGGCCTCTTCAGCATCACAGATACCTCCTAATGGCAGCAGATCAAGCACACTATGTTGCTGCTTCTTTAAAATTCCTTTTTCACGCTATATGTGTCCTCTTTGTCTGCAGGTCTCATTCGACTGCAGGAACTGATCAAGGCCCCGTCACGATACAATATTCGTTTGAAGATCCGACAGCTGCCCACAGAGACCAAGGATGCCAAGCCGCTTCTGAAAGAGATGAAGAAGGCAAAGGAGTTTCATGTCATCTTTGATTGTGGACACGAGATGGCTGCGTGGATCCTAAAACAGGTATCCAACTTAATGAGCCATGATAATTTTCTGTCACTGCAATTATTTTTGGACCCCCAAAGTTCATTATTTAGTAGAAAATTATTAAATGGTAATGCTGGTAGTTTTCTATGTCATTTTCCATACAGTAAATCCCATGAAGAGACTAAAACCAACAACAAATTTCATATACTTATCATAATAGGTGTGATTCCAGAACCTGGTTTAGCTCGTTCGTCTGTGCCATAGACCACCATTGTTGTCCAAAAACTATTAAAATACTCAAGTGAGTCCGTGAGTTTTGAAAAGGGAATTTTTAAATAGATATATTTCACACAAAATGTGTTGCTTGTACTGATATGATTTTGTTTATTTTGCGGCTCTCTTTCAGTGTGATAAGGAAAAAAAATATATAAAAGCTTCCAAAATTGTTATTTTCTGTCTGTGAGCCCACTGTTCAGGCTCTTTAAAGTCCAGAGAACACTGTTTTCTACACTGTTTGAACTGACGTATACACCTTAAGCAAGTAGTTGTGTGGAAGAAGGAAGAAATTGAGCTGTTGTATATGTTTTGTTGTGCCTACCAAGTATTCACCACAAATAACCAGTCATTTTTGTTGCTTCCTGATGGCACACAGCTGTACAGAGAATTCAAACAGTGCGATATACTTGTGAGAACACTTCAGTTCAAGAACCCCCACAGTTCTCATAAATAATATGCCTCTGTTAAATGAATTTACAATGCCTGTGAGCAGAAA